CATACTGCCAACCTGGGTTTGATCTCAGCACCCCATATGGTCCCCCCAAATCTAGCCAGATGTGGTCCTTGGGTAAGAAGTGGTCATTGTGTAGAATCAGGTGTAAGCCCTGAGCATTGTCAGGTGTGGTGACTGGTTCTGGAGGTCTTCGGCTGCCAGAGTTCTGCTGGCAGGCTACTAAATGTAACCTGCCCACACGGCAGAGTCTGGAAACTCCTCGTGGCATACCCAATATGCCAAATACCAGTAACAATGATGGGCCTCATTCTCCTAGCCCTGAAAGAGCCTTGATATATGGCACTTTTAAAAAATCTCAGAGCTAGGACGAAGAAGGAGACGTTACTGGGGCCTGCTCGAGGCAATCCACAAACAACAGGATGAATGTGATCGTGATCGTGATTGTCAGGGGTAGCCCCAAAACAACAACAACAAAAAGAATCTAGGGTGTGCTGAAGTCCCGAGTGCAAGTCTCTAAGCCCCAAACAAGATTGGTGTCTCAAACAGCTCACAGGAAAAAAGAAGTTGGCCCTTCAGGTTCTCCGTCAATGATTCATTGGGGTACATGCGAAGTGTGCGTGCTCCAGCACTGAGCTATACCTCTCTCATTATGGATCTTAAGATCTGCAAGACCAGGGCTGGAGAGATAGCACAGCGGGTAAGGAGTTTGCCTTGCAGGCGGCAGACCCGGGTTCGATTCCCAGCATCCCATATGGTCCCCTGAGCATTGCCAGGAGTAACTCCTGAGTGCAGAGCCAGGAGTAACCCCTGTGCGTTGCCAGGTGTGACCCAAAAAGCAAAAAAAAAAAAAAAAAAAAAAAAATCTGCAAGACCCCAAAATAATACTTAAACATGCCATTTCTTCAACTATTTGGGCTTTTTCCAAGGAGTAAGATATTACCATCACTGCCTCAATTTTAGAATTTACTTCATTCTATTCTCTCATTTTACACAAGAGAGGACTTGCCCAATTCACCAACGGTCTATTGAGGACTGACTCCGAATTGACTATTTAAGGGAACAAAGTCTATTCCTTTGCTGTTTTCTCTTTTCTTTATTTTGTTTCTTGGGGGCCACACCCAGGGGTGCGTGGAGGCTACTCCTGCTTTGTGTTCAGTGGTCAGTCCTGGTGATGTGACACTGACCCTGTGGTGCCAGGAATAAAACTTGGATCTCCTGTATGCAAAGCATGAGCTCAGCCCATTGAGTCATCTCCCTGACCCCAAAAGCCATTTATTTTGCAGTGTTCTCTAATGGTCTACAAGATCTTTCTGATCTAGAAAATTCAGTCGTAGGGATGCCAAATTAATTCTTTTGTTAAGGCTCGTTGCCAAACAAAATCAAATTATAAGAGACGTGCTCCCTCTGCTGGCAATATATTATAATTACAAAGCTTTGAAAATACAGGGACTCGATGAAAATTACACTTCAAGAAGTAAATTCAAGAAGTAAATTCAAGAAGTAAATTCAAGTAAATTCAAGAAGTAAATGTAGGGGCTGGAGTGATAGTACAGCGGGTAGGGCTTTTGCCTTGCACGTGGCTGACCCGGGTTCAATTCCCAGCATCCCATATAATCCTCTGAGCACCGCCAGGAATGTGCAGAGCCAGGTGTGAACCCCCCCTCAAAAAAAAAAAGTAAATGTAGGGCTGGAGAGTGCAGAAGGAGGGCACTTGCCTTGCAGCCTGGATTCACTCTCTGACACAGTCAAGAGTAAGTTCTCAGCACAGCAGGGTGTGGCCATTACCCCCTATCCCGCCTGAAAAAGAAATAAATTTTGGAGGAGTAAACAAGCTCTTCCACCTTGTTCCCTTCCACCTTGTTTTTGCCAAGGCTCAGTCAGAATAATTTTTGGAACCACACCCAGCAATGCTCAGGACTTACTCTGGGTCTGTGCTGGAGGATCATTCCTAGCAAGTTCATGGGACCATATGGGGTGCTAGGGATGGAATCTGGGTGGGCCGCTTGCCCTGCCCACTGTATAATCGCTCCAGCCCTGTCTGAAACAAAGCAGTCTTTATTGTACAAAGGGTGGTTTGCACCACAAGCAAGTAGGTAGCAGTGGACTATGGACAGACTGGGAGGTGATCAATATTTAAGAGACAGGAAATTGTGAATTTAGAAAATTAGTAAGCATGTCACTTGAAATTTTTTTTGTTTGTTTGCTTCTGGGCCACATCCCCTGTAGATTCTCAGAGGCTACTCCCAGCTTGCTGTTGGGGTTCGCACCCAGAATTACTCAGATCTTACTTACTGTGTTGGGCTCCTGCAAGCAGATCATACGCTCTAGACCTTTGAGCTGTCTCTGCACCAGTTACATGTTTTGTTGTTGATTTTGTTTTTCAGGACATACTTGGCAATGCTCAGGGGTTTCTCCTGGCTCTGCACTAAGGAGTTCCTTCTGGCAGTGCTCAAGGAACCATATGGTCGGTCACATGCAAAGCAAGCACCCCCTACCTGCTGAATTGTCACTCTGTCCCCTACATAGTCAACTCTACGTTTTTTTGTTTGTTTTTTGGGACACACTCAGCAGTATTGAGGGCTTACTCCTGGCTCTGTGCTCACTCTTGGTGGGGCTCAGAGGACCATATGGGGTGCTCGGGATTGACCCTGGGTCAGACACATGCAAGGCAAAGCCCTACATGCTATATTATTTCTCTGACCCAAAGTACTATACTATTTAATGACATTCCTAATGCTAAGAAATCTACTGAAATAGTTGTTGAGAATAAAAACACCGTGTTTGTTTTTCCCACTTTTTTTGTTTTCGAGATAAATTATGTGAAAAATTTTTTTTATGTATGCATAATTTTTTAAATGTCACAGATCAAATCCAGGATCTGCCACTGAGCTATATTTCTCCCTCCAATTATGAAACCTAAGATATACAAGATCCCCCCGAATAATAGCTAACCCTTAGAATTTACTATGCATCAAGAACTATTCTAAGTTTAATAAGTCATTTAATCATTATTACCCACCTTTGAAGCAGCTATATCATTATTTTGTTTTGTTCTCTTTTGGGGTCACATCAGGTGATTCTCAGGGCTTACTCCTGGTTCTGTCCTCAGAGTTCACCAAAAACAAAAACAAAATAGAAACAAAACCCACCAGTAAGCCCCATGTCAGTTAATGGTACTCCGTGTACTATCACTCAGACCCAACAACTATATGAGTATTATACATTATCATCATTTTGTCCTTTTAAATTTTTTATTTTGTTTTGTTTGGGGGCCACACCTGGTGATACTCAGGACTTACTCTTGGCTCTGCACTTAGGTATCACTTGTAGTGAGTATTGAGGGCCATCGGGGGGTTCCAGGTATCAAACCCGGGTTGGTCATGTGCAAAGCAAGTGCTCTACCTGATGTACTATCACTTTAACCATACACAGAAATCTTTTGGAAGTTCATATAGCTTGTTCAAGTTGAAAGCATTCAAAGTTAAACATTTTTTCCTTTGGTGCCAGGGATGGAAGCCAGGACGCCATACATGCAAGGCAAGTACTCTACCTCTGGGCCTCCTCCCAACCCTGTCAGTTGAACTTCAGTGATATTTTTTATTTTGTTTTTGGGTCATACCTGGCTGTGTTCAGGGTTTCTGGCTGTGCTTGGGGGAACCATATGCCCTGCAGTGAATCTAACCCAGGTGATCCAGTGCAAGGGCAGCAATCACCTTAATTTCTTAACTATCTCTCTGATCCCCCAAAGTCGAACTTTATGAGTCTCAAGGTCTCCACTTCTCTACTGGAGGAAACTAAAGATGGACACTGTTTAAGAATATGCATAGGCCGAAGTAATAATAGTACAGCCGGGTAGGGCTTGTCGTGGCCGAACATCTGTGGCATTCCCATAAGGTCCCTTGAGACCCCCCAGGATTGATCACTGAGTGCAACCAGGCAACCAGTGCAACCAATTAAGGTATAATCCCTGAGCACTATCGGGTGTGGTCCAAAAAACAAACAAAAAGAATATGCATAGGTAAGTTTCTAAGGTAACACTAACTTATTTTCTGTCATTAAAGACTCAGGAGATGGGCAGGAAACGAGGCAGGAGCAATAGGACCGCCGGTAGGGTGCTTGCCTTGCACACAGCAGACCCAGGCTGGGTGTCCAGCACCCACTATAGTCCCCAGAGCCCTGCAGGAGTGAGTGAGCCCTGAGCTCAGAGCCAGAAGTAAGCCCCTAGGTGTGGCCCAAAATCCAAAAGCAAAAAACAAAACAAACAAAAAAGACTGGGAGAACTTTATCAACGGTTGCCCAGCTCAGTTGTAACATTATCCACAAACAGTAACATTTTTATCTAGTGGATACAATGTAGCGCTAATCACTGCTTTCGGAAGAGTCACCCTAAAAGATACTGTAATTCTTTTTCACCGGACAGATAAGCCTTAAGTCTTAGAAATTTTTTTTGCCCTACTTTGGTTTGTTTTGGGGGCCGTATCCGGCAATGCTGAGGGCTTATTCTGGCTCTGTGCTTAGGGATCACTCCTGGAGGGGCTCGGGAGACCATACGGGGTGCCGGAGATCGAACCCAGGTCCAGCTACGTACAAGCTAAGCGCCCTACCCGCTGTACTATTATCCGGTCTCTCTCTATATATATTTATTTTTTCTTTTGTTAAGTTAAAAATGTTTTCCAATTTTGGAAAAGATAGCCTGCAGCCTCTGAAATCGACTCACTGAAAAGTTTTCCGTAATTTCCTGCCCTTAGGGGGAAAAAAAAAAAGGTTCCTGTGAACACACTTCCCGTCCTCCAGCCCCGACTTGGCAGCCCTGCTCCGTCTGGTGGGAGACGCGAACTCGTTGCCCTTAAGAAATATGGCGACTCTAACCTCCCGGCCCGCGTCCACGATGGCGTCTCCCACGCTGCCGGGCGGACGGGCGGACGGGCGGGGGGGCGCGGGCCGGGCGCCGCTTCCGGGCCGGCCAGGGGGCGGGGTCCATTGAGGAAAGCCTTGCGTGCCGGCGCCCGCGACGGAGGCGCGCTGCAGGGCGCAGGCGCGGAGAGGGGGTGGGGGAGGAGGGAAAGCGGCGAGTAAGATGGAAGATGAGGAGGTCGCTGAGAGCTGGGAGGAGGCGGCAGACAGCGGGGTAAGTAGCGGCCGCCGCCCCGGGGCAGGGTCGGGCGGCACGCGGCGCGGGGGAAGCCTCCGGGGAGCGGGTCTGGGGCTGGTTCTCCCCCCCAGGAGGGGCCCCGTCCCCCGGGCCGAGGGTGGAGGAGAGGCCCCCGGTCCCTGGGCGCCGGGAAGGCCTCTTAAAGGGGCCGCGTTCCATTTCGCCTTCCCCTGGGGCCCGGTGCGCTCTCCGGGCCCTGCGCCCCCCTCCCCTGACGTGCGCGTCACTCGGGGCGCCCCACACGCCGCCCTCGGCCGCCTGGGCTCGGCCCGGCTCCTTTTGACCCGTCCTTTCGCCTCGGACACCAGCCTGCCACCCCCCCTCCTCCACCCCCCACCCCCGCCCGCCCGCCCGCCCGCGGCACCATTTTAAAGTTCATGTGCTCCGCTGGGCAGCGGCGCGGCTCTGCCCCGTCCCCTCCGCGCCTCGCTGAAATCCCCCGGGCTCGGCGTTACCCGCCACGGGGGGCGAGTCGGGGTTTTTTGTTTTTGGGTTTTTTTTTTCTTTCGGTGTTTTTTGGGGTTTCTTTTTTCCCCCCTCCCTCGTTGGGTTTTACCGGGCCCTCTGCAGGCGGGTCTCCTGGGGTGGGGGTGGGGGTGGGGGACTACGCCCGAAGCACCGATAAGCCGGGCGGCCGGAGCCCCTCTCCCCGGAGACCCACCCAACGAGCGGAGCCCCAGGGGAGAGGCCCTGGGAGTTTGCTGGCCGCGCTGCAGGGCGGGCGGGGGGCGGGGGGCGGTGTGCAGGGTGAGACGTGAAAGTAGCCGCATTCCTGGGAGGGGAGAGGGACACGGAGCGTTCCCGACTGGCTTTTTGGGAAAGGGTTTTGCTTACCGCCCAGTAGCTAGGCGCGAGTGCTTGCTTCCCAGCCGACCGGGCCGCAGTGCTATGAGGTTCGTGACTTACGAGGTGGTCTTTGCAGAGTTTTGTGATCTCGGTGATCCTTGTGAAGACGGGGCGAGGTGTGTGGGGGGTGGGGGCGACGTCTCTGGTTGGGTTCTCTCGTGCGGGAGCGTTGTCTTGTTCAGTGTTGGGCCGGGGCGACGTCCGCCTTTGAGGTTTAGGAAGTTGTTGGGAGTTAAGGGCCGTGGGGAGCCGAGGCGCGTGCTAGGTTAAGACGGGATCTGGGCTTTTGGCTACCCAATCACGGTTACACGAGGCTGAAAAATGGGCCCAGAAGTGCGCTTATGCCTATGGTAACGTTCGCGATTGGCCTCGGGGTGCAGCCCCCTCCTCCCCACCCGGTGGGGCTTCAGCGGGTTTCTTTCACGGTGGTTCAGCCTTTTCCACTTAGGGTGATTGAGAATGTGAATAAATCGTTGAGAAGGTGCTTAGCACAGTTCTTCCTTAACGTGTCGACCCTCTTTCCTGGAATTTGGACTTGAGTAGAGGAGGGCAATTTGAAATTTTTATAAGGAGCAACAGGTGTCAGTTGGGGCGTTTGTCATTTAACAAACATTTTTCAGTGTCTTCTGTTTGCTAAGTAATGTGCTTAGCGGTGACTTTGTGCCAGAGAATGCAAAATTTCCGGTGGAGGTGTTTATTGCCTACCTCTAATGTGAATGAATCATTCAGACACCCCTCTGTGCCGCCCCCTGCAGAAACAAGAGGCTTACAAGTTTGAGTCATTGAATGTTTGAATGTGACTCAAATAAGTGTTGAGCATCTTGAGCTTTGTTTTTCTCTTCTCACCTGCTTCTAAAGGGATGTTAGTTCCTCATGTTTTAAGAGTAAGAAGGAAATAAGCATGGAATCCAGAAACTGAGACTGTCTCCAGGAGTTTCAAATGGGAGGTCACTTTGAGATCAGCTAGCCTCGTCCCGGGTTTTACAGCAGCCCCAAATATTTAAGATTTGACCCCTGAACTTTAAAGTTTAACGTTGAGCTCTCTAGTCCCGTGTGTTTGGCACTGTGGTAGGACCCTTATAAAGTGCCAGTAGATAGATCCAGACCTGTGTCTTTGACATTGTGTACAGCCTTTGCCAGGATGCTGATTCCCTTCCATATCTTTAGCTGAACTGTTGAAGTCATGGATTCAGGCATTTTCCTTCTTTTATAAATGAGGAAGCTGAGTTCTTAGGTCGAGGTCTAGCTCAAGGTCACACAGATAATATGCCTGTTAACTGGGTTGGACTCCACCCTATTTGACTCAAAAGATGGATTCTTGACAGTCTTCTGCCTCCATACTTGGGACCTCGTGGAGGTCTTGGGAGTTAACCCTCTTTTTTTTGTGGGGACAGAGCCTGCGACATCTGGCTGTGCACAGGGCTTACTCCTGACCCTGTGCTCATCACTCTTGGTGGTGCTTTGGGATCATATGGGGTGCCGGAGATCAAACCTAGATCTGCCACATGCAAAGCAAACCCCTTAATAACTCTGTACTATTTCTGGCTCCTAACCTGCTTTATTATTTTTTGTTTGGGGGCCATACCGGAAATACTCGGGGGTTACTCCTGGTTCTTCACTCAGGAATTACTCTTGATGGTGCTCGAGGGACTGTATGGGATGCTGGGGATCAAACCTGGGTCAGCTTCATGGAAGGCAAAGATCCTATCCTTTGTATATTCACTTCAACTCTTTATTTTTTTTATATATATTTTTTTTGCCTTTTGGGTCACACCCAGGGATGCTCAGGGGTCACTCCTGGCTCTGCACTCAGGAATTACTCCTGGCGGTGCTTGGGGGACCATATGGGATGCTGGGGATCAAACCCAGGTCGGTCTTGTGCAAGGCAAACGCCCTACCCCGCTGTGCTATCGCTCCAGCCCCTCCAACTCTTAATTTTTATTTATTTATTTTTTGGTTTGGGAGCCAAACCTGGAGGTACTCAGGTTACTCTGGCTCTTTATTCAAGTATCACTCCTGGCGGGACTGGGGGACCATATAGGATTCTGGAGATCAAACTCGGGTTGGCCACATGCAAGGCAAACACCCTACCTATTACTGCTCCACTCCTTCGTTTTAATGTCTTTACTCTGGGCCTGTATTTGAGGGTTGTCTTGACTTTTCTTTTTTTTCAAAATTTTTTTGAAGTGTCTTGTAAATGGGCACTTTTGAAAGAGTAGTTGGGAGGTTTAAAGCATTATGTGAAAAAGTGTGACAATGTTTCTCAGATCTAGACAGTTTCTTATGTAAATCTTCTTTTAGGGCCAGAGATAGTGCAGAGATTAAGGCACCTCTTTTGTACATAGCTGATCCAATTCAGATGGCATCTCCAAACCCTGCCAGGAATGATTTCTGAGCACTGTTGGGTATGACCCCAAAACAACCACAAACTGTAATTCAGTAGTCTTTTTTTTTTTCCTTTTGGCTTTTTTGCATCATACCTGGCAGTGCTCGGGGGTTACTCCTGTCTCTGCACTTAGAAATTACTCCTGGCAGTACAAAGAGAACTATATGGGATGCTGGGGATCAAACCCAGGTTGGCCATGTACATAGCAAATGTCCTACCTGCTGTATTATCACTCTGGTCCCCCTCAGTATCTTGTTGTTTAATTTGGGGGAAGAACATCTCAAAAGGTAGCTTCTGCTTTTAGTTATAAGTAAACACTATTTATTATTTTTTTAATTTAAAACAATAAGCTACCGAGAGTATTCGATATGCCAAACACAGTAACAACAAAGTCTCCAATGGAGACGTTACTGGGCCCGCTCGAGCAAATCCACGATCAACGGGAGGGCCTTTACCTTTTACCTTTTTAAAACAATTTTAAGTATCAAACTTGTTATTTTACCTGTTTCTTTCCAAGGAGTTAACATCTCCAATCATAGGACAATTGAAAAAATTGTGACATATTCCACCAAGGAAATGCTTCCTTAAAAAACATAATACTGGGGCTAGAGTGATAATACAGTGAGTAGTGTGCTTGTCTTGTACACTGCTGAACCGGGTTTGTACCCTGGCACCCTGCGCCCCACTGGGATTGATCTCTCACTGTATGTAGAGCCAGGAGTAATCTCTGAGCCTCGCTGGGTGTGAACCCCAAAACAAAAACGTACTGCCTTTGCAAGAAATGGAAATCAGCAGTGACCTTCCACTTAAGCACATTTCAAAGAATGAGCATTTTGTAATGGGAAGACATATTTTTGTCTCCATTCCCAACAAACAGATAAAGAATTTGCTAGATTTATGTTACAAAACTTTGCATTCACTTGTTTAGAGGGCAGGGGGACAATACCTTGAGGAGATCTTGTTGGTAATGAACTAGTAATGGTCCTGTGGAAAGGCAAGTAGATGGTACAGAGATAGAATTTGACTGGTGATCACAAAACTTCTGGAACCTCCTTCATTTCTTTGTATCCCCAAAGTTGTCTTTTGTTGCTTTTTCACAGTCTTGTAACTAATGGGAAAAATGTATCTTAAGGAATAATGTAGTCTGGACGAAGAATTCAAAGTTTCTCTTTACTTTTACCCATAAGGAGCCGTCAGGGCAACTGCCTCATCAGTGAACTGCCTCACCAGGTATACAAGGTGAGGTCCAATGGAGACAAAGGTTAATGGAGCATTTTCTTTTTTTTTCTTTAGTTTGGGGGCCACACCTGATGGTGCTCAGGGATTATTCCTGGCTCGGCACTCAGAAATTGGTCCCAGCAGTGCTCAGGGGATGATAGGTGGTGCTAGTATCAAGGGCTGCGTGCAAGGCAAGTGCCTTAATCGCTGTACTAGCACTCTGATCTCAACAAGCAAGCACCTTAACCCCTGTATTCTCCATCTCTCTCTACCCAACCGTACCTCCCCCCCCCCACCCCTTTTTTTGGTACCATACTGGGGATTGAACCCAGACCTTACACATACAAGGCAAGTGTACTACCTTTGAGTTACATTCCCAGCCAGGCAGCACTTTCTTTGGAAGAGGCATTGCAATGTAGCACTGTCCTCCCATTGTTCATCGATTTGCTCCAACTGGCCCAGTTACGTCTCCATTTTGAGACTTGTTACTGTGTTTGGCATAGTGAATATGTCACGGGTAGCTTGC